CATCATCAGAACTTCATTTCCCACAATATCTTTCTCTGTGTCATCAGAAGAACACTTCCCACGGGGCATTTCTCTACATCATCAGAACTACATTTCCCACAGTGCCATTCTCTTTTTCATCAAAAGTACATTTCCCACAGTGCCCTTACTGACATCATTGAACTATATTTCCCAGAGAGCAATATACTCTACGGAATCAGAACTACATTTCCTACATTTGCTTCCTCTGTGTCATCAGAACTACATTTCCCAGGTGGCTTTCTCTATGTCATCAAAACTACATTTCCAAAGAACCTTTCTCTAAGTCATCAGAATGACATTTCCCAAACTGCCTTTCTCTGTGTCATCAGAACTATATTTCCCACCGTGTCTTTCTTTACATCTTCAGAATTACATTTCCCACAGGGCCTTTCTGTATGTCATCAGAAATACTTTTGCCACAGGGCCTTTCTCTGTGTCATGAAAACTACCTTGCCAACAGTACCTTTCTCTGTTCATCACAACTACATTTCCCACAGTGCCTTTTTCTGTGTTGTCAAAACTACATTTCCCACAGTGCTGTCCTCCGCATCATCAGAACTACATTACCCACAGTGCCTTTCTCAATGTCATCAGAAATACATTTCCAAGGTGCCTTTCTCTACACAATCAGAACTACATTTTTCTAATCTCACCTGATAAAGAATTTATATCTAAAATATACATATTCAAACCAGAAATCAAATGTATAAAACAAAATTTCTCATCTGATAAAGTTCTAATATACAAAATATATTATTGAACCCTAGAAATTAAAAAACAAAATTTGCCATCTGATAAAGGTTTAATATCAAAAATAATATCATATTGAATATAATTAGACAAATAAAGCAAAAGTTGTCAACTGATGAAGGTCTAATACCAAAAAATGTACTTGTTGAACCCGAAAAATTAAGTAAAACAAATCTCTTATCTGATAGAAATCAAATATTCAAAATATATTATTAAATACAAGGAAATCCATGGCCTTACTTAGCACTTGACCCTTTATGCATAATTGGGGGTTCTGTGGGAAGGAAGGTAAGTAGACATTGACCCCAAACTAATCATAATTGAATAAAGTTAATAGAGAACCATGAGATTGCTAGATAACATCACACTAGAAGGTGCAAAACCTTACTTAAAAGTAGGAAGGAAATCAGTGGTCTTACTTAGAACTTGATCCTGAATGCTACTACAGTCGTCCCCTGACAAGATGCCCTCAGTTTTGAATATTTGAATTTTATCCTATAATTTTTACTATAGAAAAATATAGTTTTCTAATTGGATTTGAGGCCAGTTCTACAGGAATATATACACATCAGGTTGTGTAATCCTGAGCTAAAGCTCATTACTTTGGAGATATTAGACCCTAGGTACAACCCATGACTCCTGTTTTGAATATTTTTACTCCAATCCATTTAATTATCATGGTAACAAGATTTTTTCATCATGTGTTTATGGAACACACATCATGTTTTGTGGATCAAATCAGATGGCTTTATTTCATTAGTTCTAGGCACTAAGCCTAAAAATTGATTTATACTTTGATTTAAACTCTTTATTAATCAGGAGTTTTAAATTTGGAAGTTCATTTGATATGAACTTCACACTCACCCCCTCAACACACACACACTTTTCCATGTAGATATTGAAGTGCAGCCAATATTATTCATGGATGTGGTAGTCAGAAAATTTGTTTCAATTAAAATGTGGCATAAAACCAATAAGATTTTCCAGTGTGTAAAGGTTTGGGTTTTTGTTTGTTTGTTTGTTTGTTTGCTTGTTTGTTTGTTTTTCAGGACAGGGTTTCACTGTGTAGCTTTGGAGCCTGTCCTGGATCTCACTCTGTAGACCAAGCTCGCATCAATCTCATAGAGATCCACCTGGCTCTGCCTCCTGAGTGCTGGGATTAAAGGCGTGTGCTAACACTGCCCAGCAATGCTTTGGATTCTTAATTTTCAAATCTGATTTTGATGCCTAGCACCCAGATGAAGGTAGATAGGAAGAACTCAAACCCAGATTTTATGCTTGTTCTGCACATAAAGAACTTGATATAAATGCACATAAGACTGTACAAACATGGTCATTCACACACACTTTATGAACACATTCATACAAAAAAGAGTCCCATACTGAGGATTTAAATAACACAATAAAGTTTTTAAAAATTTATGCCAGAAGATGAAATTTATTTACTCATTCACAGAGAAGGAAAATTCGACTAAAGAGGGCAAGGGAAGAAACTTGAGGAAAGAACAGTGTAAAGAATCTGAACTACACGAGAGAGGTGAATGCACAATTGGGAAAGAAAGATGGGTCCACCTTCTCATTTGTGAATTAGATGACATGGACAGATATGTAGCAAGTTGTATCAATCTTGAAACCTGTGAAATTACAAATTTCAAATTAGAAACATCAATGGAAATATATTAAATGCAAATGAATACAGTAAGTTTTATAGAACATATAGAAAACCATGTTTGAGAGATGTGGTACAGAATGATGCAATTTTTGAGCAGAAATTTGTTCATAGGGAATAGATTA